CCGAAGAATTGATGCTTTTGAACTGTGGTGTTGGAGAAGACTCTTGAGAGTCCCTTGGACTGCAAGGAGATCCAACCAGTCCATCCTAAAGGAATTCAGTCCCTAATATTCATTCATCAGAAGGACTGATGCTGAAGCTGAAATTCCAATATTTTGGCCACCTGATGCAAAGAATTGACTCATTGGAAAAGACCCTGATGCTGGGAAAGATTGAAGGCAGGAGAAGAGGATGACAGAGGATGAGATGGCTGGATGGCTTCGCCGACTCGATGGACATGAGTCTGAGTAAACTCCAGGAGTTAGTGATGGATAGGGAGGCCTGGTGTGCTGCAATTCATGGGGTCGCAAAGAGTCGGACACGACTGAGCAACTGAACTGACTGACTGACTGAAGAGCTTTATCAGGATCCCTCAAGAAATGTACATGAATGTCAAACCGTCAGTGGTTTATTCAAACTTAGAGATCTGTAGTAGACCATTTTGGTTAAAATCCACTCCCTCTCTTTGACTAGCTATGTGATTTCAGGTAGGTCATATAACCTCTCTCCATGCCTCAGTTTTTTATCTATAAAATGAGGATGATAATAGGAACTTGACCATAATACTTCTGGTATATTTCACACGCTGAGTTAGTCCCAGATCCACAAGCATCTTACCTCTAGAATAAAATCTGTGGGACCAAGAAAGGACATTGTTCACAGAAGTGCTAAGCTCACAGAAGTGAGCTCAGTGAACTCACACCTCAGTTCACAGAAGTGTGCTCAGTTGTGTCCAACTCTTTGTGGTCTCATGGACTGTAGCCCACCAGGCCCCTCTGCCCATGGAATTTTCTAGGCAAGAATACTGGAGAGTAGGGTGCCATTTCCTACTCCAGGGTATCTTCCTGACCCAGGAATCAAACCTGTGTCTCTTGTGCCCCCTGCATGGGCAGGCAGATTCTTTACCACTAGCCCCACATGGGAAGAACTCATGGGAATAGTCAAACTAAACCAAATGTGAGGGTTTTGGCCAGCAACAAGGATAAATTTCTAGACAAATCTGAACCATAAAACAGGACCATCTTCCCAGGATGAAACCCTCAGACTGATAACAGATTGACTAACTTAGCTTCCAAACCCAGGCAGTGCTTTGGGACACATGACACACAACCTGTGCAATGTACCCAGGGCTCCGCTCTCTGATGACCTGGCTTTAATTCCTCTAAACTGCCACCAGGTGTCCACAGACACTCATACATCCCCTCTTTGGCTCGCGAGTCAACACAAGTGGAAGCTGGAACAGAGAGGGGAGTACTTAGCCCAAGGACGCATGGTTTGGCAGTGGACAGGAGAAGACTCTGTAGTGGATCCCAGGTTTGTGGTTAGTGCCCAGCCCAGCTCCAATATGCTCCATGGCTAGGAGGACAAACAGATTTCAAAGCAAGAATTCAAGGCTCAGCAAGAACCTAAAACTTCATCATATCACCATCACTCCGACTTTTATTCTCTTCCAAACTTTCTGGGTCTATTCATTTTGGCCTTGATCTTAAGCTATTTCAACCGTACAACCCTCTTCCTCTCTAATAACCAGGTCACACTTCAAAGCCAGGTCTGCATTCCCTTGGGTAAGAAAGAACACTAGCGGTGGGCCCCATGCTCCCAAGCCCACCATGTGGGAAAAGGGTTGAAATTCACCTCCTTTCAACTCAGACTGAGAGGCCATTCAGCCTTCTCATCCCAATGTGTCTCATCCTCTTCAAAGTCAGAATCCTGCCACCAGCTCTGGCTCCAGCTCTGTCACCTGAGGGAGGTCTTACTCTTCAGGTCTGACTCTTTCATAATGCCCTCTCCATTCTTCTGATTTGGGTGAGCTCCCAGGCCCAGGGTGTCTGTAGAGATGAAACTCCTCTTTAGATTTTGCGTGATCAGAACAATCAGTACACAAAAATAGAAACAATAATGAAACATGAGCAAGAAGACTAAAAATAATACTGTTATCAGTTGGTCTCTTGCTATTCCTGAGCCTGGGGAAGGAGACCAAGTTTCTACCTCACTACTGCCATGCAGTCTGTGCCGGGGCTGGGGCTGTCACTATTCTAAGGCTGGCAGGAGGAGCCACACTGACCTGCACCATCTGCTGCCACAGTGGACATCCAGAGCTCTAAGAATCAGTCAGTGGGCCAGCCTGGGACAACTGAGCCAGCCTTGATTCAAGCTGGTGCTCCAGGGCCAGGGAGGACATTAAAGAGAAATGTAATTTCACTGCTATGAGGGAAAGACCTTGACAGCTGTGAAAAACTGCCGCCCAGACATAGCATTCCCCACAACTGGCTGAACCAACAGAGCCCTGCCTCAAAACTCATCCAGAGCCTTTCCCAGCGCTCCTTTTGTGAAACTTTGGCCTGTCTCTGCCTGTGTCTTCCTCAAAGAGAAGAAAAGGGGGTGCAATAGACAGACTGGAGGTGAGAGAATGAGTTTGATTATTTGATAATTAAATTAATCAGCACCACAAAGCCAGAAACTGAATCTGATCTTGCATCCCCCAGACATGTGTCCAGGACTCAGCATAAAGCAAGCCCACACAAATGTCTGTTGAATAGACAAACATGAATGAATGTGACCAATCAGTTCTGAGTGCCAGCTTTATGAGAGGAGTTGACAAATTATAGTGTAACCAGAGCTGGCAGCCAGGATTGTAAGTGTTCTGGAGATCCTGTCATATACAAAAAGTGAAAAGAACAAAAGAGATAAAGACAGGGAAGAGGAGATACAAGAGGAAGCCTGGACAATTGTTTTCTGAAATCACCTGAAGGAAGAATCTGATGGGCCCTGATTTACATTGTTTCAGAAGGCAGAATAGAAGCCAAGGAACAGAGTTCCCAGGTAGCTTTATAGCTCCAAGCAGATGGATATTCCCCATGGCTGTAATTACCCAGGCGTGGGTAGTTCCCAGGGCCTCCTCCATCAGAGGGAATGGCCACGCAGAGGCTGGACACCAGCTTGGAGAAGGGCACCGAGACAGGCCTGTACCTGGTGAGAGGTTCAGACAACAGACCAACAGCTGACATTTTTCCTGGAAGAGTCCAGATTCATTTCTTCTTCCCCCAGGAGGAGAACAAGTTTTCACGTGACATGAGTCCTGTGGGGCTCCAAGCAAAACTATGAAAAGGGAAAATCTAAATTCAGCATCCCTCACTTACCTTTTCAGAACCCTTGTCATCTCTGCTTGTAAAACTCCTAACAAAAACATTCTTGTCTTAGATGTGAGTAAACAAAGAAAAGAACTTACTTAAGAGTGATAATGTCTTGAATTCCCTGATGGTCCAGTGGTTAAGGCTCTTCTTTCACTGCCAAAGGCCCAGTTTCAATCCGTGGTCAGAGAACTACGATCTTGCAAGCCACGTGGCATGGCAAAAAAAAAAAAGTCTTAAAAAAAAAGAGCATTAAAGCTTTAATATGCCAATTCACATTTTGAAAGAGGGTGCCACAAGAAAGCAATGAGCAAAACTAACCCTGGGTTTGCAGCACAATATCTTTTGAATGGGGAAGTCCTCTGGAGACCCTCTGATCAATCAGCCATGTCCAGCATAGTGCTAGTCAGAGGGCAAAGGAATTACATTGGGAGGCAGAGTCCTTGGTTTTTAAGTCCTCACTCCACCTTACGCTGACTATGTCAGTTAAGTTTCTGGTTACCTACTTAGCTTCTCTGAGCTTCATTTTCCTCATCTGTTTTAAAAAGTGTTACTGCCCCCCCTCTTGAACACAAATATGCAAAGAGCAAACAAAAGAGGTCTGAAGGAAGACAGAGAAGTATCAACTCTGACCCATGGACAGGGCTGAGCTGAGCTAAAGGCCACACCTGATCCCTGCCTTGAGCCCAGGGTTCTGTCCCCACTCAGGAGGCCCCTCTGTTCTCTTTCAACACCCCAAGTATGTCCAAAACCTCTGAACGTACTCGCTTCCACAACCACATCAAGCACTCCAGAGGATTTCCTCAACCTCTGCCTTTTCCATCCCTAGAGGCATTTTGTCTGCTTCAGAGGGCGACAGTTCCCATAAACCAAAAACCAACTGAGCCAATTCAGGCTGCTAAAGCTTTGGGTTTCTTTATTGAAATGCTTGGGCTTCTTTATTGCAAATAAAGAGTTTCATTACTCTGTTGCAAAGAACTGACTCAGAACAAATTAAAACTGATTTCCACAATGACCTGATGACCTTGCTGATGATGTGACAGCACAAAAAGCAATCAGATAAATTTCAGAACTAAAGACTTTCAAAAATTGCAATATAGTTGACTTACAATATTATTTTACTTTCATGTGTACAACATAGTGATTCAATGTTTTTATAGATTATGCTCCACATAAAGTCATTATAAAATAATGGCTATATTCCTTGTGCTGTACATTACATTCTTATAACTTATTTATTTTATACCTAATAGTCTATACCTCTTAATCCCCTTCACCTACTTTGCTCCTCCGTACCCTTCTTCTCTCTGATAACAAAGAGTTTGTTCTCTGTATCTTTAAGCCTGTTTCTGTTTTGTTACGTTCATTCCACTAAGGATTTAAGTCTTAACTGAGATTCAAGAAAATAGGATCTTTAAAAAAAAAGAAAATAGGATCTTTGGTTATTGCCTGTCTGCTTGCTTGTCTTGTCCCTGGACAGTTCCAGTATAAATTAAATTAGGGGTGGGCTAATACTTTCTATAAAATCCAGATAATACATATTTTAGGCATTTGTGGACTAAAAGTATATCACATACTTTCTTATATATAACAAGAGGGAAAACAAATTTCTACGATTTTTTGATAAAATTCAAAATATAAAAAATAATAATTGAATACAATTTTTTGTAATATAGGTCTACTACTACTGCGTGAGTGCTCAGTCATGTCCGACTCTTTGCAACCCCATGGACTGTAGCCAGTCAGGCCCTTCTGTCCATGGGATTATCCTGGCAATAATACTGGAGTGGGTTGCCATTTCCTCCTCCAGGAGATTTTCCTGACTCAGGGATCAGAGCCATGTTTCCTATGTCTCCTTCATTGGCAGGTGGAATCTTTACCAATGAGCCACCCAGGAAACCCTATGAGAAAAACTGCAATTCCTTTTTAAGGAATAATGTTTCATTTAGTTGAGGCTCAAAGTTATTTTTTCTCATCACCCAAAATCAATTGCAAATATTCATCTGCTGTTACTGACATGTAATGAGATTTTATATATTTTTAAATGTCTTCTCACATGGATACATATTGCCAAATACTGATATCAATCCACAAACATCAATTTAATTGAGCACATTCACCTTTTTTAGAAGGTATTAATAGGCTTCTACTAGATTCATTTCTTTATATTTGCCTTAAAACATAGCATCATATTAAAGAGTAATTCCTATCAGTTTTAAGATTAAGGAGAAAGCTTTTGAATTGCACAGTTAAATGGATTTTGAAAAACAGAAAGTTCCTTTACACTTGCACTGAGGTCCAGGAAAACGCTGCTGAAAATGTAGTTTGAACTCAGAAAATAGCTGCTACTAATATGTGTGGCAATGAAAATGCAATTTCTTACTTAAACTTTGGACAGAACAGGAAGCCCACAAAACAGTATGACATTACAGTATGACATTCAAACAATGTTAGTTGTCTTTGAATAATTTTGCTGCAGCATAAGTTTCACAGCTAAGCACTGTTTTCCCTTGTAACTTTAGATTAAATTCATTAAGAAACATTAATCTGCCACAAAAGCTAATTTCCAAAGCCATCTGTGTTCAAAAACAGTGGATGAAGATGATTCTTCTCATTGAAAAAAATTTCAATCTCAGCCTGAACCCAAAACGTCACAATGAAATATGGCCACTGCTAAGCCATTGAACTCTTGTGTGGTAGGGCAAGTGAAGGTATTCAGCTTCTGTTTCTGACCCCAAAATCCCAGAAGTGAGCATGACTAAGCTTATAAGAGCAAATGAAGTTCACCATTGACACCACTGGTTTCATAATGTGAAAGATTCAAAATTTTCAGAGTATCTGCTGATGAGTAACACCATAATTAATCACAAGCTTTAACAATACACTTTCACAAGCTTGAAAATTTTTCTGACTCAGCCCTCTTCTTCTCCACATGTATTTTTACCATCAGATGCCACATAGTTTAGCAGATTCCACTTCAGGAATTAGTATTTTCTTTACTTTAAAAGATCGTTGCAGATAGTTGTTCCACAGATATTCACAGAGGCTAATTCTTAAGTCACTTCAAACTTAGTATTTACTCCTCAAATAAACAATTGAGCAGCATCAGAAACATCCATCAACTCTCAGGAACAACAGAAAAGCATTCAAAATTATTTGCTTTGCTTTCAACTGAATATTAATGTTATTTCGTCAATCTTTTCCAAAAGCCTAGTATTCTTAAACAAGTTTATTTTCTCTGGACATATTTCTTTACCTGCTTCAATTGAGTATGATTTAATTAACTCAACATAGGTAAACAGCTTTCCTCACTTGACTAACAGATGAGCCACTCAGAAGCTTACTTTGGATGCTGTTTCTCTTTCATTTTTTGCTGAGAAATTCTGCTGTGAAAAAATATTTCATTTTAAATTCTATTTTTTCTACTTGCTGCCTCCTATAAGTTAGGAACACTGTGATGAGTATTTAGTCTGATCACATAAAAATATATCGTATTGTTTTAGCATAGCTATTGTGTCACTGCATAATAAACATAATGCTTTACCCTCTAATCCTATAGCAAGTCCAAAAGTAAAACCCTACCCTTCACTTAGGTGCGTGCATGCTCAGTCATGTCTGACTCTTTGCAACCCTGTGGACTGCAGCCCGCCAGGTTCCTTTGTCCATGGGATTTCCCAAACAAGAATATGGGAGTGGGTTGCCATTTCCTCCTCCAGGGGATCTTCCCAACCTAGGGATGGAACTCATGTCTCCTGTGTTTCCTGCATTGGCAGGCTGATTCTTTACCACTGAGCTACTGGAGAAGCCTAAAAGTGCCTTAAAAACGTGACATTTGAAGTCTACTTTTCTCTCCCTTTTTGCTTTAACATGATGGGTGTGCACTGGTAATAAAAAATAAAATAAAATGTTATAGTATAATGGTAAGTGTGGCACTGGAGACACTGTCAAGTTGTAACTGCACTACTGCAATTGGTAGCATGTCCAGCAAGGGTGTGACGGTGCCACAGCACAACTGCAACCACAAACAACATGCAACAAATGAGCATCACTATGTTCCAATAAGCTATTTATGTACCTAAAACTTAATTTCACATGATTTTTATGTGTTACAAAATAGTATTCTACTTTTGATTGTTTTGTAATCAGTAATATAAAAATCAGTTTTGGGTCCTGGGTCTTGCAGAAATAGGCAGCAGTAATTGATCGGCCCACTACTACAGTTTGCCAACCCCTAAATTAGATGGTGGTATTTCCTAGAATGCTATCCTTTTAGGCAGGGCTGCTCGGAGTCAGGTAAAATGAAATCGAAACTGTCTAACCTCCCCACTGATCTGAGGATGCACCGTGTGTGTCCTAGACTGTGGACGCTGTAAGGCAATCAAGTTCATGAATCTGGTGAGCATCTGAACCCAGCACTAAGCATGTGAATGCAATGGGGAAGGAAAGTGGGAATAGATAAGAGAAGCAGGAAATGGGAGCTGCTCTCAAGGGGGTACAGTCAAATTTTGAGGATTATACTGACACATACAGACACTAAGAGGATGAGGACTGTTAACATATGCTCTTAACAGTGACAAAGGTCTTTTGAATGTAGTTGGTGCCTAATAAATATTTGGAGAAGGTATCAATGAGTAAATAATACATAATTAGACCAGCTCTAAACTAATTGGAGCTCACTATGGTTGCAATGTTAAGCCCATAGGTTCTGGGGTCTGACTGCCTGGGTTTTTTTATTTATTACCTCTACAACTTCATACAGATTATTCGACAACTTTTAGCCTTACTTCCCTGTCTGTAAAATGAGAGTAATAATATTACCTATCTCATAAGCTCGTTGTGAGCATCAAATGAGATAATGGATATAAAGCACTGGTGTGGAGTCTAAAAAGTTCAATAAATAATAGCTTAAAGTATTATTATTAGAGAAGGAAGATTACTTGAAGGCTTAAGGAATTAAAGCAGCTACCTGGAAGAGGTGGATGTTAAAAGAACATGGATGGGGAAGAGGAGAAAGGTAAGTACAGGCGTGGGGTCAAAGACACAGCTTGGAAGTTGGGTTCGTCAGGCAGTGTTTGAGAGCCTTGGGTTTCCTGTTGAGTCACTTTCAGGCCAGTGCTCAAAGGAGGAGGAATAAGGGCAGAGTTGCTCATGTTTACCCAGTAGACAACCAAAAGCACAGCTTGGGGAGCAATAACACCCCTTTGAGATGCTTTGCTTGGACTTATGG